AATTTGGCTATTCCAACATAGTAGCAACGTGGTGAGTCTGTCTTTTTATTGATATACTGGAACACAAATTGGAAATGTGCTGAAAAAGTTGGAAAATCAGAGGCAGGACAGCGAATAACAGACACAGATGTGATTTCTGTAATTGCAAATATATCTTGGTCTAAAAATACAAGAAAAAACTCTTTAAAGTGTGGATAATTGGGCAAAAGCACGAGGCTGTGTAACATCCCAGCAGTAGCTAATTTAGTGACTTCAAAGGGCTATTTGTCTAAGGTTTTTACATTTGGAATCTAACATTATGAGTACAGAGGAATAGATTTAAGTATTCAAAACTACATATCCTTATAATTGTTACAGAAATTGCAATAAATGAAAGCCTGCCCTGCCTGCTCTTCTCTCCATCTCCACCTCAAGGGTTTGTTTTAAATACCACAAATCTTGAAGCAGCTTCAAAGCCACATTTTATTAAAGTAAAAATACTGCAAAGGCCATAATTTCTGATTCTTACAATGCCAGGAGGATTTTTTTTTCCCCCACTGTTCAACAAACTGCACTTGACCACTCAACCTGTACTTAGTCATAAAGGAAAGCAGCATTTCAACACCTAAACACTTTATTTTATAGTTGTGCAATCATCTTTTGGAATGAGGAAAATCATACCTGAGACGTCTTAGAGGCTTTAGTGGAGATCAGCTCCAGCCTGGCCTTGGACACTTCGAAGGATCCAGGGGCAGCCACAGCTTCTCTGGGCAACCTGTGCCAGGGCCTCCCCACCCTCACAGCCAAGAATTCCTTCCCAATATCCCATCTAACCCTGCCCTCTGGCAGTGGGAAGCCATTCCCCCTTGTCCTGCCTCTCCAGGCCCTTGTCCAAGGAACCCAGAGCATTCCCAGCAGGCTCTCCCAGGCTGTGAACTGAGGGATGTCCTTGCAGCATCATTTGCAAACAGGATTCTGCTCGCTGTCTTTGCCTCGATCCTGGTGTGGTGTCTTGGGGACCTTTTTCTGTCAATAAGGAAACCAGCAGTGCCTGTTCCTGCTGACTGCAGGTGTGAAAGGACCCTGCTCCAAGGTGGCAGCACAATATTCCAGCTGTCCCTCCCACACCAACCAATGCTGCAGCCTCAGAGCTCAGGGATCAATAAGATCTCGTGATGGAGTTCTCAGCTGAGACATCCGAGTCGTTTTCTGGGAAGAAATCCAAACAACACTTCCAACGTGTTTGCTTTGTCTTTCAAAAGTGCTGTAAAAAAAAAAGGTCAGAGCAAGAGAAGAAGGAAATCAAAAGATGGAGTTGTACAAACCCACCTCAGAGCAGCTCTGGGCAGGGATCCACGAAAATCATGATCACAACCCTCTCAGTTTTCCAAAGAGTTGTTAAAATAAATTTGCAGGTCAGTTGAGCTTCAAATTTTTCAACTCCAGCTACAATAAAATTCAGGATGCTTTACCCCATTTCCCTCAACCGGCCCAAAAAGCATAAACAAATCCCAATTTCCAGCAGCTCCCAGAATTCTGGCTGCAAACTACCACAGAAAGAAATCAATCTCACTCTTAGTATTCAGTAGTTTGGTTATCCTGGAATACATAAACGCAATCCATAGGCTGATCCTGGAATACAGACATGCAATCCATGGGCTGATCCTGGAGTACATAAATGCAATCCATGGGCTGATCCTGCACATCATCTGCCTTGCATGGAGCTTCACACACTCTTTTGGGGACCAAGAGCAGCTGAAGGATGAAGCAGCTGAGCTCCTCTGCAACTAAACATGGCAAATGGAAAATAAAAAGGATGTAAAGGCTTTTGTGGGTACACGAGGTTGTGCCACAAGGGTCATGCCCAAGGAAAATAAACAAACATCAGCAAAACCTCCTGCCAACCACGCTGCCAAGTCATCCTGCCACCTGCCAATTGTTTTTAAATTAAGCATTTAAACTGAACATGGAAAATTTAAACCACCAGCAACCGTCACAAACGTTGTGGTTGCAGCAGAACAGAAGCTGATTTGCAGTGGCTTCACCTTGAATTTCCCTGGCTGCTGCTGAGAGCAATTACCTGTGAGCCAGCACTCACATCCTGCTGTCAGAGTCAGCATCCCTTGGGAGAGTGCATCCTGGAATCCAGGAATGGTTTGGGTTGGAAGGGACCTTACAGATCATCCAGTTCCACCCCCTGCCATAGGAAAGGACACCTTCCCCTTGACCAGTTCCAACCTGGCCTTGGACACTTCCAGGGATGGGGCAGCCACAGCTTCTCTGGGCAACCTGTGCCAGGGCCTCCCCACCCTCACAGGGAAGGATTTCTCCCCCTCTAATCCCTCAGGAGCTGTGGGCAAAGCCACAAACCACCTTCTGATTTATTTTTTTTGTTTTTTAAATGTAAGAATGTGTCTGCCACATTAAAAAAATAGATGGATAGGAAATGTTTGCATTTAAAGGCTTTCATGTTATATTTATAGTGCTTAAATGCAAACTGACTTGTACATAAACAGAAGGGAAACAGATATTTTACCTTTCAAAATACAGGGCAAGGAGTAATTTTATGACAATAGCAAAGGATTCCAACTCTCTGTGGTGCCCATCTGATTCATAACCAATTAATCTGATTTTTCTGTCTGACTCCTGTGCAGGGCTGAGTCAGTTCGGCGGGGGCAGAGTCTGGAAGGAGCTGATCAGGAAATATTTTCTCTGAGTCAGAGGAACCCAGTCTCTCCTTTCTCTCAAGCGATGAGGTTGTCGTGTCAAACATCAATTTTCATTCCAAGTTATGTGATGTTTCTTCAGGTAACTGTGAAGGGAAAAAAAAAAAAGACACAAGGAATTTTAGCTTCAGCAGAGAACAGATAAACTTCAAGGTGACAGGCAAGAAAAAGGCAAAATATGGTCTCATTTACAGAGCAATTCTCTGAGCCACAGGAGAGTTTCAATGATTTGAGCCATAACAATTTGAGCTGAGTCACCAAAAACTAAATATAATTTAGTCAGATTGCTCAGAAAGGATCTACAGGCTCTTCACTGCTGTTAGTCTCTGTTATTTGGTATTTTTAAAGGTGTGGATACTCAGCTGAAATTGAAAAGGAAAACCCCCAAGCAGGAGCTGAAAAGTAATTCCCTTGAAGTTGTTACCAAGATAAATATCAGTTCTTAACTATATATTTTTTGACATATATTTCATAGGGGGCAGGTTTTACCTCAGTTTACTAAAAAAATATCCTTGGACTATAAATTCTCGGACTGTGGTCTTTGTATGCAAATAAAGAACCGATAGAAGTGTCAGATTAATGAATGTGTAGAGGTGGATCAGCCTAACAAAGCTTTCCCATATTGTGATGGTTAATGTTTAACTGGAATACTGGTCAGAAATGGAGGCAGGCCTCTTGTTTCTTATTTCTTAAGGCAGGTTTAGAAACCTCCCTTTATATTCCTCAGAACTTAAACCAAATACTAATTGATTTCTGCTACATAGATATAGATTATGTCGGAATAAAATTCCTAAATATATAGATTATATAGATTTTTAGGAATATAAATTATAGATTATTTAGGAATATAGATGATTTAGAATAACATTTATATATTCTTTAAAATGTATGTGTATATATGCTTTAAAGCAATTGCCTCAAAAGTATTATTAAATCCTGTATAATTTGAAAAAAGTAATCACAAGACCATATTATATAAAGAGCAGAGATAAAATACATTGATTTCAAATCTAATTGGTGCTTTAAAGTTTTGGCTCAAGAAATCATAAAACCAGAAGAATCACAGTACAATAACACTGCACTGCAGAACAGGGCTTTTCTCCTCCCAAGAAATTCTTTGCCATTTCAAATTCATAAAAAATTCAAAAATTTCTCCGTGTCATTAAAGTGCAAACCAGAGAAGCTTCAGGACAAGAACTCCACAGGTTTATTTAGTTTCCCCCTAAAGGTTAATTAAAAAACTCTGGATCATCCAGGAGCTCGGGTTCAGTGTAATGTGGAATAATGACATTATAGATAATAGAAATAAAAGCTAATGGATTCTCTGGTACTTCAGCCTGACAATAGATTATTAATTTATATTTCATGTTTTATCCTAAAAAAACAGGGACCCTGGTGCTGAGTTCACCTCAAATTCTAGAAATTTGGCTTCAGTCTTTTAATTAAGCAAGGAAGGTTCTGTTCGATATAATTTTCTTACTGTCTTTGTCTGGTCAGCTTGGGCTGAAGAAATTAATATATTCTCTTGCTTTATAGTCCAGAACAGATTTTCTTGTTCCTTTTGCATATCCACTGTTTCATTGAAATGAATCCCTGTTCAAGGTATTTGTTGCCTCCATGACAAAAATAAAAAAGAAAAAAAAAAAGGTAAGGGGTTATTGTGAGAAAATATGTACAATTTAATTAGGAAAAAGGCTCTTTCTTAGAAAATAATCTATTGACAAGAGATAGAATGTCATTACCCCACCAAGACCCAAGACCAACCCAGTATTTTCACAAATTTCAAGAATTCAGGAGGTCTCACAAAGGGGAGAGTTGGTCCGATCACAGCAAACTGGGAATTTGGACAGAGAAGGAACATTTTATAACTTTTTACCATAACAGATCAGATACAGACTTAGAAAAACATCTTTTCAACCTGTTTATCAGGATTTTAGGAGAAAAACCTCAGAACTCTCCCAGAGAAGGTGAGGTGAGCTGGGAACACGCCAAGGCTCTGGATGAGCCCAGAGCCACGATCTGGGAAGTCCTGGTTTGTCAAGGATCATAAATCATCTGCCAATGATCCCTACCAGCCTTTGCCAGGCTGGTGGTGGTGTAACTATGGCAACACCTTTTCCCCAGACCAAAGTTCAATTATTTTACACTTTTATTACCACTGCTGTTCACTTAAAGTTTACCAGGGTAACTCTCTGTGAGCGCAGAGCCCGGACAGCAAGGAGGAGGAAACAACCCCATGGTAGCCGGACTAAAGGGAACAAAATATCCTGAACTGGTGGAAAAATTTCCGCCAAGATGCCTTCCAGGAAGAAAACAACCATGTTTGCATCTTCTTTTTGTACCTGTGTTGCCTCCTTCGTGCTGATTTGCGTGGTGCTGGCGACACAGCAGTGGGTGAGCAGCGAGGTTCGCTTCTCTCGCACCAACAGCAGCGTCACCATCAGCCTCGACTACGGACTCTTCAGGGGCACCTGTGAACAGTTTGTTGAACCAGGACTTCAGGTGTCAAAGCAGACCTTCCAAGGTGAGTGGAGTTACACCTGGAAATGGATCTGACAGTCGCAAAACGGTTGGATTGGAAGGGAGAGTAAAGATCATCCAGTCCCACCCCTGCCATGGGCAGGGACACCTTCCACTAGCCCAGGTTGCTCCAAGCTCCTTCCAACCTGGTCTTGGACATGTCCAGGGATCCAAGGGCAGCCACAGCTTCTCTGGGCAACCTGTGCCAGGGCCTCCCCACCCTCACAGGGAAGGATTTCTTCCCAATATCTAATGTAAACCTAAAATCTTCTTGCTCGTGCCAGTGACAGACGTAGGACCTGCAGCTCATTCTAATGTTCATCTATAACTATAATACTTCAAGTGAGACCAAGAACAACTGTAGAACAGTCTGGGGATTTAAGTGGTATCAAATAAGACCCTCAAAAAGCACAGAAATTCTGCAGCATTCTTGACAATAACAACTTATTTTATAATAATAATAATAATAATAATAATAATGGCCAGTCTTCGCGAGCGAAGATCCGGGGAAGGTCTTTCCTTTAATCCTAAGGTTCACCTGCCCTTAAAGGCAACCCATCTACGTCCTAAGGACCTCGCTGCCACCGTCCAAGCTCGCTTGGCCCCAGCAGATGAACCTTAGGATTAAAGGGTGGGCTCAGTTCCGCGCACACTGTGTCTCACCTAAAAAATCCAATGCGCAGGCTGGAAGGTGGAAAGACCTTCCCCGGATCTTCGCTCGCGAAGACTGGCCATTATATATATATACAACTTATTTTAATCACCTGTATAATTACCTCCTTCCCTTTGGAATGAGGGAAAAGTAAAAAATGGGAACTTTATGTAAAACTGACTTTCATTTTCAGAAGTTTTCAGTGAGCAACACCTACCACTTCATTAAGGGATTTACAAACCTAATTCATCTTCCAGGATTTCCTTTAATTTCATGATGCTACATTTATTGTTTGATTTAAAACATTTTCCACCTACTACCAAATTAGCATCATTTTACAGAAAAAGGTTTTAAGACTGCTGAAGGAAAAAGAACAAAACATGTAAAACAACACCCAAAGGTAGGATAAGCCTGAAAGCTGATGCAAGGATCAAGGGTTTGCACTCATTTTATCTGTCTTGCTGTCGCACCACATTCAAAGCAATAATGCTGATGACACATGGGAAGGGGGAAAAAGCCAGTCAAAAGAAATCCAACAAAAATTGGAAGAGTAGGTCAAACAGTTTTAAAACATGAGATACAGAATTAAAATGGGTAAAAGGAAGAAATTTTTTTTCAATTATTATGGTAAAGGAATAATGTTTTTAACAGTTATAGTGGTAAAACACTGGCACAGGTTGGCCAGAGAAGCTGTGGTTGCCCCATTCCTGGGAGTGTCCAAGACCAGGTTGGACAGGGCTTGGAGCAACCTGGAATAGTGGAAGATGTCCTTGCCCATGGCAGGGGGTGGAACTGGATGATCTTTACTATCCCTTCCAATCCAAACCAGTCTGGGATTGTGTGATACTCCAATAAATATTTTCCTTTTTTTGGTAGGCTGTTGTGAGATGTCCCAGAGAAGCCACCAAGGCAGAGCACAGCAGATCTAAGCCTGCAGGTGGTTCCCATCTCCCAGATCTTTCCCAGCTTAATTTATCACAGAAACTGTCCCTGTGCAAACAGGCACCCAAATTCCCACGGTGGCAAAGCTGTGTTACACAACCCAGTTCTCATGAGAACATTCATGGAAATGAATGTCATGAAAACCTGGACACAGCAGCACTCCCAGCAAAACATGGAGTGTGGACTGAGATTGTCACATAACAATCACAGAACCACGAGGCACTTAAACCTGGTTTACTTACAGTCACAGCAGAATAATCATGGCATTTTTAGAAGAGTAAATATGCATTAATAAAAACCGTTTTCTATATGGTTCTAGCACCCTCTGGCAGTTGGCTCAAACCCCAAACCTTGTGCCATGTGGGCAGGCTCTTGCTGATGTTAATTGGGCTCCCTGTGAAACCTGGAGTTCTCCCAGGAGGAGCTGATTGCAGGGTGGGGACACAGCTTGGCTGGAATTCAGGGCATGTGTCTTCCCTTTGTCCATACAGCGCCTCACACAGCCCAGTCCTAGGGCCTGGGTGTTACCAACAGGTCCATTTTAATTAAAATTAAGGAAAAAGACTCACCCAGCACTTGTATCAGTGAAGGGTTTCAGTTCTTGCACAGTTTACATTCATCTCAGGGGTGCTGGGTTTTCCCCCTCCAGATTCAGGGCTTTGTGATTCTCATTTAGCAAATGTTGAGATAACACTCACAGAAAGTTATCTCAGTTCTCACATAGCAGTTATTTGGGGATGAACAAAACAAGTGAGTTTCAGGAGTTGCTTCCCCACAGCTGCTGAAGGAAAGTGATGCTTTAGGAACAGCCCAAAGATGGGTTTGGCCACATCCCTCCCTAGTTCTGTTGGGCACATACCCAAGGGGAGATGAACTGATTTTAAATTAGTTGTTAGGCTGCACACTAGGCATTATTGCCATGTTTTATGTTGTCATTTATGGAAGAAATTCAGGTTTCCCAGAGAAGCTGTGGCTGCCCCATCCCTGGAAGCGTCCAAGGCCAGGTTGGACAGGGCTTGGAGCAACCTGGGCTGGTGGAAGGTGTCCCTGCCCATGGCAGGGGGTGGAATGAGATGATCTTCACTGCCCCTTTCAATCCAAACCATTCTATTCTATCATCCTATTCCATACATACTTGAAATAGGAAAGGCACTTCACAGAATTGCATACATAATATTTTCACTTCATATAGACAGGTCCTCCTAAGACAGTACACATCTTTTCTTTGCTGATTCTTAAGCAAATTGATTTCCTGTTTTATGGAGAACTAAAGTGATGTGCCTTCTCCACTCTAATGTTTCAGACACCACTAAGAGGAGTTAAAACCAGCCTTTTAACTCACAGTGTGATCCATCACTCAGCAGCTGTGGCCTTGCTGGGGGGCCCTGCTGTTGCACCCCGTGTGTGTTTCTCAAATGGCACTGTCATAACTGGGTGTGAGAAAAGGAGGATGGAAATGATAGAAGGGCAAATCAAAGGTGATAGCTCGGGGATATGAAATATTCCTTAGCAATGGCCCAGGTTGGTTTTTGTTAATGGCCATTCAAAAGGTCATCAACAGCCTTTACAAAAAAAACTTATCCTTGTAGAAACCAGAGCATTAAAAGAAATTTCTGAGTGTAAAGATGAAAAGACGAGCACGGTTTCTGCACTGTGCTGTGCATGACCTGCCCAGTCAGGGTGGCTCTTTAACAGACTGCCAGGAACAGCCTTAATAGAGCAATAAATCAAAACAGCCACTTCCCAGGCTCTGGGGATGAATGATCTGGCAAAATGTAGAAGTTGTTTAATAACCAAAGTCCTTACAGGCCTCACGAGCTGTTTTCATGATTTCTCTTAGCAAGGAACCACCTATGAATGTACCAGTCCGTGAAAGCTTGTTTACAGCTCTGCTTGTGTCCATGTAGAAACTGAGCAAGGCCCAGGAAGAGGCACACCCAGAGAGTCCTGGAATGTCAGGATTTATCCAAATGTTTGCAGCCAGCAAGGCCAACAACACATGAGGAAGCCTTTGAAACTTATTGTAAGCAGAGAGGAATCAATTCACTTTCTAACTTTTAAATGACAAGACAAATGCCTGAAAATCAGTTTCCTGATGTGCTATGGGGTCTCCTGAAAACTGGGAAGCTCAGTTGAACTCTACTTGAGGTTTTTTTGTTTGTTTGTTTGGCTTTTTCTTCTTAATGAAAAATTCATTATGTGTCATAAGTGATCAGAGAGCCCACAAAAGCTGCCAGATCAGCACTGCTTGGAAGGCTGACTCAGGTCAGTACAAGTTTGGGAAATTCTATCCAAATATATAAGAATTAAGGAGGTGGGGGGGATTAAAAAAAAAAAAATACAGGAAAATAAGGAGAGACCTGGGCAGGGCAAAGCCCTCTGTTTCCATTGCAGAATGAAGTTATTTTACACAGATGCTGCAGGTTACTATTGACCTCACTCAAACAGATCAGCTCCTTCAGTTAGCACAGACTGCTTTATTTAGGGGGGAAAAAAATCTGCTGCCATGAAAACAACATTTTCTTTAAACCCTTTAGCCTTGTGCTGTTACAACAGCTGAAGTCTGATAAAATGACACCCCCTAAACTGCTGATCGCTGTCAGAGATAAACAAGATCAATTAGGGGCTGCAATAGGTGTAGCCAGTCAATCCTGGAGATGTTCTGAGTGATAAAATTAAGCGAGGCTGCCAGAGGGAAATTACACAAGCCTGGCTGATTTGGCTCCAGACTCATATCTTGTGCAAGAAATACATCAGAGGTGATGCCCAGGCTGCTTCAGCCTGACTGCAGGCACAACCAGCAGCGTGCTCACTTCCATTTAACTGAGTGATAGCCCCTGGATGCCCTTCTTTCCTGTTCTTCTAGGAAAATTGCTTACATTTACAACTGATTTCCATAACACATCCTTACCTCAAAAAGACATTAACTTCTACCTGCCACTATTACGTAAAATGAAAGAGAACTTCTCCTTTTCATTTCTTCCCAATAGCTCTTCTTTTTATTATGTTTATTTCTCTTTATGGGGTTTTTAGTACTTTTTTCCCTGCTATGATTTCTCCCATTTAGGCACTACCCGAACACTTTGCAGTAATGGCTTTGTGTTAAAAGCAGAATAGAGGGGGAATTTTCCTACACACGTCTGTCTATCACAACACCCATTTGAATGGAGCTGGAAAACACTGTCATTGTATTTGTTACAACATCAGGCAGCCACAGTTGCCTTTTCAATCTTTAAATTGAAAAGGGGGAAATAATAAATCTCAACACAGCTATACTGCAATTACACTTGGAGGATATTGTGTCTCTTATTATCAGCAACCTATGGAATGACTGGAAGGATTGAGGCAAAAAAAAAAAAATCAATGAAATCGATGGCAGTCCTGGAGGGGCTGAAAATGTGCCATGAACATATGGCCAGACACTCCTGCAGCTCCAGAAACTACAGAGGGCAATGGCCTGTGTGTATCAGCTGTAACGAGCTGGAGCCAAAAGGAGAGGGGCCAGGGTCTGATCTCAAGGTGGAGACCCTGTGACCACACAGCTCAGCCCTGTGGGAGCCACAAGCACCCCATATACCCAGGCACGGAATCCCTGAGGTTGGAAAAGCCCTCCCAGCCCATCGAGTCCACCCTGTGCCCCATCCCCACCTTGTCACCCAGCCCAGGGCACTGAGTGCCACATCCAGTCGTTCCCAGGGCACCAGGCACGAGCCCCACACAAGCAGCAGGATCAGTGGCCAGCAAATGCACTCCCTGTTCTTCATTTCAAACAAGCCTGGCTGCTGCAGTTGTTATTTTAAGCCGGTGTAGGCTCAGAGATACAATGAACACGGGGTGTTTGAGCTCACATTGAAACCTTCATCACATCAACATAATGAAAAAATAGCCCAGATTTGCATTTCCCTCATCTTCCCTCCCTTACAGGAACAGTGCCTGTGAGCAGGGCTCTTAATTTAAAAGCCCAAGCCAAGCAGAATTCGAGGAGTTGTGTTTTAAGAGTTACTCACCCTGAGGAGTTAAGAACTGCTCAGCTCAGGGTGGGAGCAGCAGGGAGGGATTTTCACCCCTGAACACGTTGCCCCAGCTCGTCCCAAAAACTACATACACAAGAAATTAGTCTCAAAATTCAGTGGATTTAGGGGTGAAAGAGAATGGAAAGTGGGAAGAGGAACATCCCCACACTGAAGCTGCAGTAAGGGATGGATGGTGCAGCAGATCTGATGATGAGCTGCAGATGTCCAATAACATCTCCAAAGAAGGAGTTGCTCCCTTCTTTTAAAAGAAGGGAACAAATACTGCCTCCACCAATTTTTTTTTTTCTGTAGGAAATGGAGACAGATCCAGTCAGGATATGAGCTCAGCCCTCCTCACCTGTCCATGTATGACCATGCTTAGCTACATTATTCCTGCAAATCTACCTGGCCCTTCCTGAGAGAGTTTTATTCCCTTAGAAGCTGTTCCTCTTGTCAAATTTATTCTATGGGAGGGAAACTGATGCTATACTAAAAGAGAATAACCTACAATGGGAGCAGTTTTAAATAATAATGGAATTTACCAGACATGGGCAGAGGGACACCTGGTTTTCTGGTCCAATTAAGCAAAAATTTCTGCCTGGCCATGTGAGGAGGAAAATTTTTACAGAAATATTAAGGAAGAGAAGTTTCCTACCCAGCCAATGCCCAGGAGGTTTTTGTGCCTGCAGGAGAAGCAGACATGCCCTTTTTTCAGCCCTGTGTACCTTCACCCCATGTGGGGTTTGAGTTCATGTGCTGTGCCCAAACCTGTTCCTTTACCTCCTGATCTCTACAGATCAATCAAGTCTCTGTTTATCAGCTTTTAATTACAGCCACATCAGTGAGTCATAAACTTGTCAGAGTCCACCAGACCACGAGGGGAAGGCTGATTATCATAAAATCATTAACACCTCTGAGAACATTAAGCCCAACCTTTAACCCAGCACCACTAACCCATGCCCCCAGGTGCCACATCCACCTGTTTGAACACTTCCAGGGATGGGGACTCCACCACTGCCCTGGCGGCCTTTTCCAGTGCCTGACCACCCTTTGCAGTGAATAAATTTTTCCTAATATCCAACTTAAACCTCCCCTGGCACAAGTTGAGGCTGTGTCCTCTCCTCCTGTCCCTTCTCCGTGCTGAGCCCCTTTATTTCAGTTGCAGATTCCCTGAGCAGCACCAAGACAAAAAGCACCAACGTTGCCATTATTGTGGTTCTGGTTCTCAGTTTGCTGACTTCCCTTCTGAGCTCTGGATTTACCTGCACCAATGCTGTCAGCAATCCCTACCAGACATTTCTGGGACCCACTGGAGTCTACACCTGGAATTCCATATGTGGTGAGTAACACATCCCATCCCATGCTGCTTCCCGTCCACCTTTGGATGAATACCTTGATTCCAAGATTAACAAATAGATATCTGGAAAAGGAAACATTTGGAAAAGCATTTTGCTCAATAGGTTTAGTTTTTAACTGCATCTTCTGGGACACCTGAAAACTACCTTTTACCATCAGTAAAATTGTACTGTATAGTAGTAAAATTATATTTATATAATAGAATATATGGGGAGCAGCAGTTAGAAGAACCAAGCCATGGCAAACTTTACTTCCTTCTCTAAAAAAACACTTTCACAGATCAAAATAAGTCCTAACATTCTCTAAGCATAAAAAAAAAGGTGGAGACACTGAGTCATTAGAGCCTGAACCCTGACAAAGGGCTCCCTGAAGGTGCAACCCCAGGTTCAGCTGGTTGGCTGCTCCCAGCACCCCCTCCTGCCCTCCTGGACATGTGCTGGCATTGACTCCAGCTCTCACACTCAATTTGTCTCAAGAGGATTATGTGTTCCTCTAATAATGGGTTTGCACTTGAATAATTTCCTTTTAAGACATCTGATTACAGGGTGCTTCAACAAGAGCATTTTACCCTTCAAAAGCTCTTCAGGTCTGAAGATGGGAGGGAGGTCTGTCCCCAGCAGCACCACCATCAGAATCAGACCTTGGTGGAAAGGGAATTGTATGGATAAATTTAGTTTTAATCGTAGCAAGCACAGGTGGGGGTATGAAACTCCCCCCCTTTTTAACACATCATGTAAAGAAAAATATAAGATGCAGAAACAGCTGAGAAATGCAGTAAGAAAAGTGAACAAAGGCCCAACTCAGGCAATTACTCACTTTTGAGACAAGCAGATCATTGTCTTGTCACATGAGGAGGTTGTTCCTTTCCTGAGCACCCTGAACCTGCAAGCTCTGGACTTGAAATGAAAGGACCATGGACTCACCAAAATAAATATTGGTGAGAAAATAAAACCCTGTGCTGGCTGAGGGTTGTGGTTCCTTTTTACTGCCCTGTGAGTGCTGTGACCTGGAAGCCTATTTTGCTGTGGGTGTATTTTTCTGAACACTCACACATCAGTCTTGGAGGTTCCTAATTCTCTTACCAGATGGCCTGAAAGTCCTCCTGAAAAAAAAGAGACCTGAACCCGTTTCAGCCTAAACTTGTGGAGGATGATGTACCTGGAGGAATGGAGTGGAACTATTTCCACCAACGTTCAGAGACTGCACCTCTGTTAGCACAATGAAAGCAGGGATGTAAAAATATTATTTAGCTAAATGTCAAAGTAACTGAACTCCTTTTACACTTGGAAGGCTGTAAGAAATAGATACAGATATAAGAAGACATTGAATTTTGGCTCATCACAGAGTCATCAAATAATTTGAGTTGGAGAGAACATGAGGTCTCTGAATTTAAGCTCTTGTGCAAAGCTGGGCCAACCCTGAAGCCAGAGCAGGTTTTATCCAGCTCTGATGCTGCCCACCCCATGGATTTGGGGTCATATCAGAGAGACAATCTATGAATACAATATACTCATCAACACTAAATTCAGTGAAAAACAGTTAAATTAAATGGCCTTGTCTAAGAATACTCAGTGAGAATCCAGTACTTTTAGAAGATGACATCATTGCCTATTTCAAAACACCTGGCAGATATTACTGGGTGGGACAAAAATTCTATAAATGCCCTTACAATTCACTAATGGAAGATATTTTGTCCCAGTGCAGGTATTTAATCAGTTTAAGCAGACTCTTTACAAGCAGCTATATAAATACCACTATGGCTTCACCTCTGATGTTTGTATTTCTGTTTTCTAGGAATCCTCATCCTTATAGCCATGATCCTTTTCCCTGTGAACATAAAAGCACACAGCCTGTCTGAAGAACTGGCCCGTGGATGTTCCACCTCTCTGCAGAGTCACATCGAATCTCAGCACAGTTATGGATATTCCTACTGGATCTTGCTGCTCATCCTTTTCCTGAACATTGCTTCTCTCATCATCATATATTTCTACGACCACGCAAGATATTCCAAGAAGAAAGAGCAGGAAAGACCCATTGAAAATGCACCAAAAGATGTCATTCTGTTTTAAGGACACCACAGAAAAGAGGGTGCAGAAGGAAAATGACTATTTAATGTGGGCAAGTAATTTCCATTCAAACTGAACTGTGTGTTGCAGTTCAGTTGACAAATTGGTTTGAAGGCACAATGGTCTATTTTGGTTTGTAGCTGCCTTCTGCTTCACCCTTGGGGTCTGAACAGGAAGATCAAAGACAGTGTTTTAGTTGTGTATGTGATTTGGGATCTCAAGGGGCAGGAATATCCCTTGGGATGATGAGAAATGGTCACTAAGGGGGTTGGTGCTTACATTTTGTCCTTTCTCTACTTAAGGATCTTCTCCTGCAGGTCCCTGTGGAACTGCCCAGGTGACCACAGGGAGCTGGGGAGGCTCCTGTCCATGGGCAGGAGTGTGAGAACTTGTGGACAAAGCCCACAGAAGACAGTGGTGGATTCTCCATCCCTGGAAGGATTTAAAAGCTGTGTGGATGTGGCACTTGGGGATGTGGGTTAGTGGTGGCCTTGGCAGGGCTGGGGGAATGGTTGGAGGGCTTTTCCAACTTAAACAATTCTATAATTCTGTGACAGCACAGGAGCCTAATATCAACAAGTTATTAATTTGTAGAAACATCAGGAAAATCCTATTTCTGGCTATTTCTAGACCTTTGATTCCTGCCAAGAGCAAAGGGCAAAGCCACACCTTGGGCACACTTTGTCCCCTCACCTACACATGACCCAGGCTGTCACATTCCCTGACACAACACCCCAACAAGGGGGTTTCTTAGTGATGATTTACAGCCAGGACTATCCCCATGCCTGGTTTAATTAGTATTTAATATGCACATAAAGGCACACAAATATAGAACAGCACAGAAGTGAGGGATCTCCCTTCCTGTTCCCTCAGGGGACAGCGAGCAGACGAATGTGACCTTGGGACAGATGTCACAGTGCAAAACCATGCTTGGAGCACGTGTCCCAGGAGAAGTTCACTGTGCTAAACTGGCCAGCACCTTCTGCTCCTTTGCCCCTCGCCTCTTCAGCCAGGAGAGCTGGTTTTGTTCCTTTAAAAAGGAAAAAGAGACTCATTTTCCTTCACATTACGGTTTTCACAGCCGTGCTCAGCATCTGTCCTGTGATACCAGAGGTGCTCGTAGAAATAAAAAAGCATTCTGAAGAGAGGATGGGAAGACACAAGAGGTGACTTCTCACTATTTATCTCAAAAAATAAAGTTTCAGGATGAAATCACTCAACGTGCTCTATCCAAGGAATCAAAGCAAAGGAGGATTCTCCATCCTGCTCGTGCACTTGGCTGAAAGGGTGATGAGGGCAGAATGGGGGGGGGGGGGAAATTAGAAACAAAAGAGGGTTTCTAAGACTTGAAGGTCAACAAAGCCAGGGATGTTACCTGCTCTGCAGTGCTGACAGAGCCCTGCCTGTGAGAGCTGCAAAGATTGCAGTGAAACAGTTGGGTGCTGCAGTGGCAACAGGCCAGACATTTACCAGTTTTGCTTTGGCTGCAAAAATGCTCACACAGTTTCAGCATTCAGCTGTCACTGTTGGGCCCAGCCAGCATCCCTCTCACAGCACACTCACACTCAGAGCAGCCCTCAATAATAAATAAAGCCCTCAGAAATAAAGTCCTAACGCTGGAGAAGCAAAGAATTCCTGCTTTGGAAAGCAGTGGTGTGCCACTGCCTGGGAATTTCTGTCGCACTGAAGCGCTAATACCTACGAAAGAGCTGAAAACCAAAATAAATCCTACTTTTGTGGGCCTGTTTGAAGCACGTGGCTCTGGTAAAAAAATCAACCTGGAGGTCTCCTGTTTGCCTGGAGATATTTGCAGCTGTGAGGTGGGGGACACACACATGTGGCACTGGAAAGTCACTGGATAACAAGAACTCCCCTGCTTTGATGTGAACTACAGATCAAAGTCACTGCAATACTAAAAAAATCTAATTTAAATTGAAGTTGAAGCTGTAAGTGACTAACAAGGCTGCCTTGAGATTCTCTGTCTGAACGTTTCACTTCAAATTAAGGATGGGATTTCCCTTCTCAAGCTCAAAACGATCCTCTCAGCCCTGTGCCACCCCCTTTCTGCCTCCTGCCAAGGTGTCAGCATGGCAGATGCTGCTGATGGAGATGGAGAAGGGGCGGGGGGGAAAGGGGAATGAGGCCGAGGAAGGCGAGAGAGCTCCTCGTGGTGCCCCCAGGAGGGTCTGCACATCCCTGCACGGCTGAACTCACCCAACCTCGGCCGGGGGAGCACGAGGGGAGAAGGGAACACACAGAACCATCACCAGCTTTTCACCCTGCATTTCCCTAAGATGCCCCGACAGCCCTGCAAAGTCGCAGCAAAGCGCTGTGTGCAGCGGGGGGGTTATAATTTATAGGTCACCCAGAGAAAGCTGTGGATGCCACATCCTTGGAAGTGATCCAGGCCAGGTTGGACGGGGCTTGGAGCAACCTGGACTAGTGGAAGGTGTCCCTGCCCACGGCAGGGGGTGGAACGAGATGAGCTTTAAGGTCCCTTCCAGCCCAAACCATTCTGGGATTTTATGAAACATTTTCCTAGTAATCCTCGTTTCAGCCTCTCCTCCCTTTCACCCAGCACCCAAACCTTCCTCATGGTTGCAAGGGGATTGTTTATTTTTAATTCTCTGTAGTAGAAATCATTACTTTGTTGGCGATCCCGTGCTTGATTTAGAACATTGATTGTTAATTCTGGCAGTTCTCCTACCGGCTGAGATTTTTAAATAGCAGGAGCTGGATGACTGTTTAGCAGAATTGCTCCTGGGGGACAGGGATTGGTTTTATTGACTGAGTCTCTTTGCCTGTGGGTAACAGCAAAGATGCACTGGCTCTTTTTGCTGTAATTGTGAAGTTAAGCAGCCTCTGCTGTGCTGTCAAGTAGCTGTGCCTACATCAGAAATTATTGCATTTGCCTGCTGTGAGGTTTGCAATGTGTCTTATTAAATGTTTTCAGCTGCTGCTAAACATTAAGGTGACTGATAATTTACTGGGTATTGAGGATATTCTGTGGTTTCAAAGGAAAAGCTGCCTTTATTCTGCATTTGGTGTAACTTTTATCTGGTGTGAAACTTTTAGAGTGAATCACAAAGCTAAAGTAGATCTTGCATTAAAAGAATCCCAGAATGGTTTGGGCTGGAAGGGACCTTAAAGGCCATCTCTTTCCATTCCCCTGCCATAGGTAGGGACACCTTCTGCTAGCCTAGGTTGCTCCAAGCCCTGTCCAACCTGGCCTTGGACACTTCCAGGGATGGGGCAGCCACAGCTTCTCTGGGCAACCTGTGCCAGGGCCTGCCCACCCTCAGAGGGGAGAATTTCTTCCTGATTAACTTAAATCTCTCCTATTTAGTTTAAAAACCTCCCTCCTTGTCCTTTCCCCCTATAGAAAGCAAGGTGAGAATGTATTAAGAAGTTCATGCTATATTTGTATATTTTAAAACCTGTCATTCAATCATGATTGTAGAAACATTCAAGTGATTTATTTAGCCAGAGAAAAACGAGTCACTTATTTAGTCAGAGTAACCACTATGGATATGTCAGCATGAATTGGGAGTAAGGGACTGCCTTGGATTTTTCCTGTGGGGAGAAAAAGAAGGAAGAGAGGGGAGCAGATGGGAGGGAGCCACTGTTTGCCTTGCTGGATAATCTGCCTCTTGTTCCTCTCCACCCAAGCTCAGTTTTTGGCATTTCTGAGCCACCTTCAGACCTGGGGCCCAAGGCACGTTGGTCACACCCTGCCTTGGCCCCACTGAGCTGGGAGATGGAATCTGATGTTGGAGCAGGGATTCATCTTTCAGCCAGGATCCTTCCCTTGACCTGCTCAGGCACAGCTCCTGCTGAAAAGCAACACTCCAGCTGCTGGCAAGTGATGAATGTGTAAAATTACCCCAGGTTTAGGTAAGATGAGAGCTTGATTTTTCTTTCAGGAGCGCATCAGGCTGACAGTGCAAGCTTTTCCCTTTTCACCTGAGGGGGAACTGCCAGAATTTGTCCTCATTAGGAGGATAAGTGCACTGAACACAGCTCCATTCATTCCAAAGGCTGCCTGGTTGGCAAGAGCCAGCCCAATTCCTTTTGATATCCTAAAACCTTAATGCAAGGTTGGATTAGGTTGCATCCTTTCTTTTTTTTCTCTTTTCCTCTGATGGGAGGATGGGCAATCCCTTCTCCTGAGCTTTTCATTCAGCCAGCAGATACCTGGACTTGCCTTCCTGTTGTTCATCCCATATATTTGCCTGGCAGGGCCAGCCCTGTCCTGGATGGCTCCTGGTCCACCTCCTCTCTCCTCAGGAGATGGGTAATTCCACAGCTCTTCTATTTTGTAATTTAACTAGGAAAAGGTGCTTCCAAAGCCATGGAAGCCACTCACCTGATAAGTGACCTTTTTATGTCATCAGCACAGACCAGGTTGCTCCAAGTCCCATCCAACCCTGCCTTGGACACAAAAACTATCCTGAATCACCCAGTTCTCTCAGGGTCATGAACTCCAGGCATTTATGGGCCTCTGCTGGAGAAGCAGGTGCCAAACCACATCAAAACTTCTTGGAAGAATGAGAACTAAGGAAATAAACTCCCCCAGAACAGCATTTGCTTCAATAATTCGGGACACTGAGTTTTCCTTTCCTGTTCAGGTGAACATCTTGGTTCTGCTCCTGTGCCTAAAGGAGAATTTTTTAGGAATTTAAGTGGGATCCTGATGGGTGTTTATTCCCGTTTTCCTGAGGCTGTTTGCCTCGGGAGCCATGAGAGGGCAGCAGGCTCCTTCCTAGGATTCACTGGCAGCCTTGGCTTTGCTTTTCTGCTTTATCTTCCTGGGAATGGGACAGCGAAACAGAGAGGGAGGGACAGGGAGGGGCAGGCGGACCTGTCCTAACTCTGCCTGCAAAGAAATGTTGTATTTCCCCTCCTTCTTTTGAGACACAGGAAAAAAAAGAAAACCAAAAAGCCAAACAGATTGAAAACATTACCAAAGTTATGCATTAATTTGAAGGCTCTAATTGACACCCCAACCCTGTGGGTGCCCTGGGAATGAGCACAGGGGGTACAAGCAGAGTGCTGTGTTGATTGTACATACACTAGAAAAGTTTTTTTTAGTTTATTCCCAGTATTAAAAGAGGTAAATTTCAAAAACAGCAACAAAACAAAAGCCCAAACCAAACCAAACCAACCGAACAATCAAACAAACAAAAAAAAACCCAACCAAAAACCAGAGGCATAGGAGGCTACAAGATTTTCAAAGCCACCTAATCAGAGCTACCAAAGCTATTGGTTAACAATGGTTAGAAATACAGATTCAAAGAGAAAAATGGCATTTTATGCAATCCCAGCATGACAAATAAATATCAAAATGCTGTGTTTTGCAAAGGTAACCAAGGCAACGTTCACTTATATTTCTTGATCAGGAGGGTATCAATAAAAACATCATCTCAAGTAAGAGTAGAATGGTATCACTTGAAATTACCTTATTAACATGATTAACTATCCCCTGGACATAAGAAAGAGTGATTATATGAGTGACCATGAGAGGGGTATCCAAGACTTTGATAGAAAAAATCCTGGGAAAATACAGGGTGATTGTGGAGATTAATAACAGTAAGAAGTAGTTTCC